ATCATAAACATGCAAAACTACATTGGTTCCATTGTTATTGCTCTCACCATTGCTGGAATTTGAGGCTTTATGCAAAACTACATTGGTTCCATTGTTATTGCTCTCACCATTGCTGGAATTTGAGGCTTTCCCTATTTTCATTTTATTGTAACACAAAAAGATAAATTGAAAATATTTCCCAAATTCCCCAGAAATTCTTGTAGAAGATGAGGCTAAAGGTATGTGTGTTTTTTATCCTGGAGAAAAGAGATTCAGAAAATGATAGTTATAAATCTCATAAACATGAGTTAGGCGATTATTCAGTTTAGGATTGATTGAAAATTTGAAGGTTTTGTTCTAACTGTTATTTGATCGGAATTATGTCTGTCAATTTGCTGCGTTTGTTACTTCGTTTATTTGTTATGTTCGTGTCTCAAATTGGAATCGTCGACCAATTTGTCTGATGTAATGGAAAAAAACAAAACAAATTTATATTATAGGGATTTTATTTTGGGTAAACTACATGGGAGACTACTAAACTATGGTAAAAAATCAATGTGACCACCGAACTTTTAATTGAATCAATCAGACCACCCAACTATTTAATTGATTCAATCAAACCACCGACCGTTAATTTTTAACAGAGGTGGTGACATGTCTGTTAAGATTAATTGGCATAATTATATATTTGGTCATTAATATTTACATATTCTATCAATTTAGTCACTATTTTAATTCAATTAAATAAAATTAACTATCCAATTAGAACGTGACACGTGTCAATATATGATTGGAAGGTGTTATTTATGGATTTTAAATTATTTAATTAAATAAATTTTCTATCCAATCAGATAGTGACACGTGTCACCACCAATTGAAATGAAAATAAAGGGATAATTTGGTGCTGAAGGGGGAATCAAACTAGGGACTTGGGGATAGAACAGATGGCCAAACCATTGGGCCAAAGGTCCCCAATGGTTTAAAGTTACAACAATGTGTATTTGACTTGTAAAAGTTTGTTAATGATAAAAATTTAAACAAATTATTTGCTAAAACAAATTATTTAAAATTAAATAAAGGGTAAAGTATAGTAATGGTCACTGAACATTTCTAAAGCTTGTATTTAGGTCCCCCAACTTTTAAAACTTGCAATACAATCCCCCAACATTTATTTCGTTTGCAATATGGTCCCCCAACTTAAATCACTGTTAGAAAATTAGGGTAAATTATATAAACGATCATGAACTTTTCAGGCACTTGAATTTAGGTCCCCAACTTTTAATGAACTAAAGCTTGTATTTAGGTCCCCCAACTTTTAAAACTTGCAATACAATCCCCCAACATTTATTTCGTTTGCAATATGGTCCCCCAACTTAAATCACTGTTAGAAAATTAGGGTAAATTATATAAACGATCATTGAACTTTTCAGGCACTTGAATTTAGGTCCCCAACTTTTAAAACTTGCAAAAAAGTCCCCCAATAATTTTATTTTCTTATTAAATATAGATGTATAGAAAATATAAATGATTCAATTTATATTTAAATGTATGAATCATTTATATTTTTGATATATTTTATTTTTCTTGTATAAACTAGTATTTAAAATATGTTTATATTTTAATCAAAATATTTCAATATATGAATAAAAATATATTTATATAAATGTATATTTATATTTAGATGTATAAATAAAAAAATATATTCATATATTAATGAATCATTTATATTTTTTGAATATTTTATTTTTAATAAGAAATTAAAATTATTAATTATATTAGAAATACTCAACTTAAGATTATATATAATCATGATAATAAAAAAAATATATTAAAATTTTTTAAAAATATATAAATCTTAAATTTATTCTTTTAAAATATTGTATCAACTAATATTTAAAAAATATTATATATCAAACAATTTATCAAATATAATATTTTTTATTGTAAAAAAATACCCATCATTTATTGCTTTCAAATTTTTTGCCGAAGTTCAAATCTCATTATTTCCATTTTCCATTATATTCTTTTTTTTCTGGCATTGGTCATACTATTAGTATATTATATTGTATATCTCTTAACACAAACGATGATGTTAGCTTAGTGGCTCACCATGTATCTTTCATTTGCGTGACTCAGGTTTGAGTTTGCCCAAGACCCAAATTTTACTTCTTTGTAACTTAATTTTCTTCTAATTAGGTGGTGACATGTGTCACCAATAACATATATCATGATCATGTGTTAACACATGTCAGATCCTGGTTAAATGATTAATTTATTAAATTTTATTTAATTTAGGACCAAATTGATAGCATATATAAATAATTAGGTGGTGACATGTGTCACCAATGACACGTTTCATGATCATGTGCTAACACATGTCAGATCCTAATTAAATGATTAATTTATTAAATTCTATTTAGTTTAGGACCAAATTGATTATATAAATAATAAAGACTGAATGTATAATAATGTCAATTCCTTTTAACTGCCACTTCATCATTTGTATCAATTGGTAACGACTAGTGGCTTAGTTAAAACAGTTAAATAATTATGTTGTATGATTGATAAATTTAAAAGATTGATGACAAAAGTAAAAAGGGCTAGATAGTTAAGTTGTCAACCTAGTAGTTTACACTTTTATTTATACGTCAAAATAACATTTTATAAATTTAAAATTCGAATTATTTTCAACCTCTTCTATATCCTAACTACTTTTTTTAATTAAAAAATTTCTTCAACAGATAAGAATTATACTATTATATTTATATAAAAAAATACGTATCACATGAAATAAGATGAAATTAAATAATAATAAATCTGACATAATTGAATTTAATTGAATTATTTTGGAATTTAGGGTTTAGAATGAAATTGAATTACTTTGGAAATTGGAGTTTAGAATGAAATTGAGGATTGTTTTGCAAGTTTTAAAAGTTGGGGGACCTAAATTCAAGTGTCTAAAAAGTTCAATAACCTTTTATATAATTTACCCTAATTTCTAACGGTGGTTTAAGTTAGGGGACCATATTGCAAACGGAATAAATGTTGGGGGACTGTATTGCAAGTTTTAAAAGTTGGGGGACCTAAATGCAAGCTTCAAAAATGTTCAGTGACCATTACTGTACTTTACCCTTAAATAAATTATTCACGATTAATCATTTTCAAATAAATTTTGGTTTGATTAACGGTTAAAGAAAATAATACGGTTAATTTGGTTCGGTTAATCAAACCAAAATTTATTTGAAAATTATTAACCAAACTGAATTAACGGAAACCTTTTTGAAAATTATTAACATAATTAATCGAAGAAAAAATTCGGTTAATTCGGTTCGGTTAATCGAACCAAAATTTATTTGAAAATTATTAACCAAACTGAATTAATTTAAAAATTATTAACCGAAACGAATTTACTGATTTTTTTAAAAGTATTAACCGAATTAATCCAAGCAAAAATTTAGTTAATTCAGTTTGGTTAACCGAACCAAAATTTATTTGAAAATTATTAACCAAACCGAATTAATTTGAAAATTATTAATCGAATCAAATTAACCGATTTTTTAAATTATAAATCGAATTAATCAAAGCAAAAATTGGATAATTCGGTTCGGTTAATCGAACTAAAATTTATTTGAAAATTATTAACCGGATTAATTTGAAAATTATTAATCGAACCGAATTAATCAAATTTTTTCTTTAACCATTAATCGAACTGAAATTTATTTGAAATTTATTTACTGAACCAATTTTGGTTAATTCGGGCAATTTTCGAATTAAATTTTTTTTTTTAAAAAAATTTATAATTTATATAAAAATTGAATATTTGTAATTCAAAAAAACAATTTACAATTAATTTATTTAATAATTTGTTTTAACAAATGATTTGTTTAAATTTTTATCTTTAACAAACTTTTACAAGTTAAATACAAATTGTTGTAACTTTAAATCATTAGAGACCTTTGATCCAATGGTTTGGGTACCTGCTCTATCCCCTAAGTCCTTGGTTTCAATTCCACCCTTAAGCTCAAAATTATCTCTTTATTTTAATTTCAATTGGTGGTGACACGTGTCACCACCTGATTGGATAGAAAAATTATTTAATTAAATAATTTAAAATTCATAAATAAAGCCTTCCATTAATATATTGACACGTGTCACATTCTAATTGGATAGTTAAATTTATTTAATTGAATTAAAATAGTGACTAAATTGATAGAATATGTAAATATTAAAGACCAAATATATAATTATGCCAATTAAGACCACCTCTGTTAAAAATTAACGGTCGTTGGTTTGATTGAATCAATTAAATAGTTGGGTGGTCTGATTGATTCAATTAAAAGTTCGATAGTCACATTGATTTTTGACCATAGTTTAGTGGTCTCCAGTGTATTTTATCCTTTTTTATTATAATAAGATGATTTTATAAAAAAAACATTAACGATTAAAATAAAAAAATAACAACAATTTGGTAGTTTACCATTTATAATTAAAAATTAGAAATATTTTATTATTAATTTGGCCATGAATATTCATATGGAAAGGCTCTTGGACTTATAGACTCTCTTTAATATTATAAATTAATATTTTTATGAAATTATAAATATAACTAAGACAATTTAATAAAATATGATTTTGTTATTGTTTGTTTATTCTTAAAATTTTTACATATGATTATATTTTATCTCTAAAATTATAAATATTTGATGTTGTTTATATAATGATTAATTTCCTTAACATACATGAACTTGTATTAAGTTTTAACTAATATTACGTAATACTATGATCTTTATTTTTTAGGGATATGTATTATATTTAATTAATTATACTGTACATAAGCATTATTTAATTAGTTAATATAATATATTAAATTAGTTGAATCAAAATATATATTTAAATTAATAAATTATTAATTAATATCTCTTTAAATTGTAAAGCATTTTTATTTACATAGAAAGAAACCCTAGCCAGTGAGGAGTCACTAGGCCCAGTACCAGCACAAGATTTCAACCCAATTAAACAGAGGCCAGGAGAGATGTGTGTTTCAGGTTAGGGTTTTTAGGGTGTAGGGTTTGAGCAGCAGAGGTCTCAAAAATGGAAGAAATCACTCAAGGAGTCAACAACATCATCTTGGCTAACGATTCCCACAAGAAGAACCGGATTCAAGTCTCCAATACCAAAAAGCCCTTGTTTTTCTACGTTAATCTCGCCAAGGTTTCCCTTTCTTCCTTCTTTTCTCCTCGCTCTGTTAGAATCAAGTGTTGAATTTGAAAAATCACAATAAAATTTCGGTGGGTTTTAGGGTTTTTTATTATTCCTTCTGAGCATTTTTCTTTTAAGTATTTGGGTATCTAAGGGGTTAGCTTTTAGCTTAAACAAAGAAGATTAATTCCTTGTTAATTTATTACAATGATAAGATAACCTTTTTTCTCTGCAGAGATATATGCAACAGTACAATGAGGTGGAGTTGTCTGCCCTTGGCATGGGTACGATTGACGTCTTAAATCCTCCATTTTTAATTCTTTAATTTCATTTTTACCTCAATTTTTTCTGATCTGAATATTAATATGATTGATTCTCATATACAAGTGTTGTTTAATTTCCTTGAAATGCATTAGTATGTTATACTGGAGACAAATGTCTGGGATTTAAGTTATGGTAATATCCCCTTAATGAAGCTGTTGACCTATAGATTATTTCACTATACTGCATTGAAGCTTTGCGGTTCAGTTTTTAGTACTTTTCTTTATAGATATTGCCCTAAAGGCAATGGTGCCGGAAATCTCCGATCCTTGTGTTATACTTGTTTATGCGAGGAGATTGTAAATTAAGATGTGGCAAAGTTTTTATTTTATGGCACAAAGTTGGTAGTAATTTGGGGATGTTGCAAATGTTCATTCAAATCATAGCCCTTGGAGATTCCTTTTCTCGAGTGCAAAATGGTTGTAACTTGATTTTCCTTGTAGTGTATTACTATTTGTTGATTGTCTATGCTGAATATTTTAGAATTGCAGTAAATCCTTTTCTATTTATCATTTCATGTATGCAGCTATAGCGACAGTCGTCACGATTGCAGAGATACTAAAAAACAATGGTTTGGCTGTTGAGAAGAGTAAGCAGTCTTCTACTTTTATTGCTTTATTTATATATATTTAGAAGAAAAAACACACGAGCACACACACGTTGATGTAACCATTAAATCCTGATAGTGCCGGGAATCAACCTGAACATGTGCAGAGATCACAACTGCAATCGTTGACATGAAGGACGACCTTAGAGGGCATCCAGTCCAAAAGGCAAAGGTAAAATCAACACAACAGGTCTTCTTGCTTCCTTTTGCATGCATCTGCTGCCGTGATCTAATGCAAAAACATATTTGCAAGCTGAAACATTTGCTCTCTCCTCATAAGATAATCCAAGGAAACCAGTATTTAATTTTTGCATTACTTGTTGTTCCCTGTTATCTAGTACTGATAATATACATGTTTATATGTGTGTGTGTGGTATTTTGTTGTTCCTCAGATTGAGATATTGTTGGGAAAGACCGAAAAATTCGATGAATTAATGGCAGCTGCTGCTGAAGAAAGAGGTGGTGTAGATGGAGAAGAGCAGGGTTGAACCTTGATTTTTATTTGTTAGTTTATGGTGATCTGTTTTCTTTTTTTTACAAATTGTAGGCGTTTTGAGTTATTATCTTGCTGGAATGTTGAATTATATTTTTAAAAAATGAATATCTGTTTTCTTTTTTCTCCAGATAAGCAGAATCTTAAAAGAAGGGTAAATTACATTGAAAGCCACTTTTTATTTTAGTCATCAGTTTCAATATGACTAGTTCTTAATAAGTTGTATTTTTATTATTTACGTTATTGATTTGTTAAGACTTAAAACTTATGTTAGCATTTGTACAGGAATGGGTTTTTAATTCTGTCTTTACTATTTGGACTAATTAATAATATTATAAATATCTTAAAGCTTTACATAAAGAAGAGACTAAAATAAGAATGTGTCGTATCCGATCCGAATTCAAACCGATGTTCCGATACGACACTTATCCATCAACCGACTGGTTTTATATAGAAAATTGGACAATATCACGGAACCTCACTATTTATCTATCGTTGCCCTCTGCCTCTGGCGTCTTCTTCCCATCACCGGCAAAATGATCCCCTATGCTATGAATAGCGTATGAACCCTTGATAGCGAATACCCTTTTACCCCGTAGGTCTTCTAGGGAAAAACCCCTCAATTTTTCATCCCCAATTCAATAGCTATCTATTTATATTTTATTCGTTTGATTTGAACATGGATGGCAACAAAGATGACGCCTTGAAATGCTTGAAACTCGGCAAAGATGCATTGGACGCCGGAGATCGACCCCGTGCCCTTAAATTCCTCACCAAAGCGCGTCGTCTTGACCCATCACTTCCCGTCGACAATCTCTTATCAGCGGCTGCTGAAGCGAAATCCGACGATCGGTCTACCCCGGATCCTCCGCCTGATTCTTCTCAATCTAAGCCGTCCGATAAACCCTCTATTCGACGGAGGAATCCACCGGCTGGATCGGTTTCTTCTTCTTCTCCGCCGGCGGATGCCGCAGGTACGTACACCGAAGAGCAAGTCGTGACCGTGAAGCAAATTAGGAAAAAGAAGGATTATTATGAAATTCTGGGGTTAGAAAAAAATTGTTCTGTTGATGATGTTCGGAAAGCTTATCGGAAACTATCCTTGAAAGTTCATCCCGATAAGAATAAAGCTCCATGTTCCGAGGAAGCCTTTAAATCTGTTTCGAAAGCGTTTCAATGCTTAAGCGATGAAGAAAGTAGGAAAAGGTACGATCTCGTTGGATCAGATGAACCTGTATATGAAAGGAGAGCTTCACAGTATCGTGGCGCGGGCAATGGATTCAATGGCTTTTACGATACTGATTTTGATGCTGACGAGATATTTAGGAACTTCTTCTTTGGTGGGATGCCTCCGGCGACTACCCAATTTCGAAGTTTCAATTTCGGGCCTCGAATGGGAGCTAGAACGGGGGATCAAGGCTCTGCTGGATTCAACATCCGAATGCTGATTCAGTTGCTACCGATTCTTCTAATCCTCTTGTTTAGCTTTTTACCATCATCTGAGCCTGTTTTTTCGCTGTCCAGGTCGTATCCTTACGAGTACAAGTTCACAACAAAGAATGGTGTGAACTTTTATGTGAGGTCGAAGAAATTCAAACTCGATTATCCGGATGATAGTATTGAGCGGGCAAGGATTGAGGAGCGTGTTGAGAGAGATTATGAATCTATTTTGGCTCAGAACTGTAGGCTTGAGCTTCAGCGGCAGCAATGGGGATTTATTCGTGAGACACCGCATTGATATATGTTGGACAAGTTTCAGTCCACAGCAGCAGCAGCTTAATGGCTTCCATTAAGGTCTTCTATATGCTCCTGTATTATTTTTCTTCCATTAAGTTTTAAGTTTTGAAGTTTTAGTGCAATGATTGTGACCATAAGCATGAGAATAATAATATGTCATTATGACTTGTCTATTTGCTATACAAATGCAGAATTTGAAATCTGTGTTTAGAGTATATAGTTTGATAGCTTGTTATGCATATCTACATTGATTGTCAATGTAACCTTATCTATGCTTGAATGATATATTCATGCCTAGAGTATAAAAAATGTATGCGCTGTTAGCTTTGATGATGATCAAAATCAAACATAGTTCGGTTAGAGTTGATGTAAATTTCATTTATGTTGCATATATATATGTTCTCATTCTTAGAATGAAGTTCTGCTGTCCATTGGAAATAATTCTTAAAGCAATTTTTTTCAGAACTTGATGCTAGTACATGTTTTAGAATTATGTTTCTTGTTACTGGGGATGAGGTCTTAGGAATGTTCAGACAATTCAAAATCATGCCTCTTTTTGTTTTTGTCGTGAAGGGAAGGAAGAAAGGAAAGAAAAGAAAAAAATGTAGAAAACTGATACACATAAAAACAACTTCTGCCTTGAAAACTGAAGCCATTAAACTGACAGTTGCAACCAACTCAAACAGCCTAGGACACGCTTTAAGAAGCTACGAAACATATTCACAACTAATACTTACCTTCAATGAAACTCCCCATACCATATTCCCTTACTCTAGTCTACATGCTGCTTTATTTTTCCTCAAAGGAACTCTTGAATGGTCTTTGTTCCACTCCAAGTTTCCCAGAACTGCAGCAATATATGGATGCTACCAGAGACTTGCTACCTTGCTTTGACTTCAACAAACTGTGGAAACCTATGTATCTTTATAATTTCTCTGTTCCTGGTATCATTATACTCATTTGCAGTAAGAGACAGTTTTCTCGTATTAGTGTTAAAATGAGTAGAAACTTCTGTATTTGCAATACTTGCATGCAATCTTACAATTTGATGTGTCAGAATTAAATCGATTTTCTTTTATTGGATGGTTACCTTTATGACTCGAATATGTCAAAAATTTTGCCCCTTTCAAAATGTGCCTTTTGAAACACCGAGTACAAGCATAGCTCTTGTGGTTTCATGTTCTTATGATATGCTACTGGAGGCGTTTAAGGACAACTCGAATCACTTCCTACTTCTGTTTACTTTAGAATTACGTTGTTGTTCAACCATTGCAACAATGGTTTCCTTATATTTGATGACATGTTTGATGCTGACTGATTAAGGTGTTGAAAAAATATTGCTTCCCCTTCGTCTTAATACGCTAACAATGACTGCATTTGTTTTGCAGGTGATAGACTGATCAAAAACTATCGGGCTTGTCACGTTGCACCCGTCCATGGCAAACACAGACCTGCACTCTGTTCTGGACAATACTCGTGACTTGGTGAAAAACAAAATCTTTGCAATTTACGTAGTTTTAAAGGTTTGCGACCCACGTATATGTGGGTTATCAAGCTGCTAAGGGGAGCATTAGACCACATACTAATATTTGTTATTGATATATTTGCTAAATGTAAGATTTTATATATCGAGATTGATGTATGTCCAGAATGTTACCTGGACTGATATGGCATATGCAGACCATCCATTTTGATGTTAATTGAATTTATATCAACTGAGAAAACAGATCAATTCATGCAACCCTTTTGTGTTTCTATCATGAAACGTGAACCAAAAAAAGTTTATGTTCTATTAGGGGATTGTCTCAGGAAAGGTGGGTTAATATACGGCTAATATACGGCATTATCGGATATATTAAAAGATATTTAATAAATTCGGTTTAGCGTTACCTATTATGTTGACAGACTAATAATGTTTTAGGTAGAAAACATGAAAAACTATTAAAAAAATTGGTAACCGGTAAACTTTGGTTATCGGTAAGTACCTATCCTTTTTATAAAAGTGTTCATACTTTCAACATATCAGGTAAATTTTATTGGTTTTATCATAATGAAACTGGTTTTGTCATATTTTTACATGTTATATTGTAAAGTATCTATCCTTTTTATAAAAGTGTCCATACTTTTTTCACTGTGGAAAACATTAATTTAAGGTTATCTTTTGTGTGAGTTTTAAGATATTAATTTAGTATATATAGGCGTCTAATGATTTATTTTTTTACGTTACGGTATATATTATTATTAAATTAAAAACAATAAAAATATATATTACATATTTATTATTATCTTTGGTTAATATTGTTAAATTTAAATACTAAATAATATTTTATAAAATATCAAAACAATCAAATATTTTTTTTGTGTAAATGAAATTATTAAATTAATATTGTAGGTGGAAAACATGAAACACTGTTAAAAAAAGTTGAAACATAAATTACATAACTTTAAAAAAAAGTATCGATCCTTTTTATAAAAAGTATGGACACTTTCAATATAATAGGTAAAAATATGATGTAATAGGTAGCGCTTATATAATGTAATAGGTAGCGTTTATATAATGTAATAGGTAGTGCTTATATTGTAAAGTATCTATCCTTTTTATAAAAGTGTCCATACTTTTTTCACTGTGCAAAACATTAATTTAAGGTTATCTTTTGAGTGAGTTTTAAGATATTAATTTAGTAATTATAGGCGTCTAATGATTTATTTTTTACGTTGCGGTATATATTATTATTAAATTAAAAACAATAAACATATATATTACATATTTATTATTATATTTGGTTAATATTGTTAATTTTAAATTCTAAATAATATTTTATAAAATATCAAAACAATCAAATAATTTTTTGTGCAAATGAAATTATTAAATTAATATTGTAGGTAGAAAACATGAAACACTATTAAAAAAATTGAAACATAAATTACATAACTTTAAAAAAAGTATCGATCCTTTTTATAAAAAGTATGGACACTTTCAATATAATAGGTAAAAATATGATGTAATAGGTAGCGCTTATATAATGTAATAGGTAGCGTTTATATAATGTAATATGTAGTGCTTATATTGTAAAGTATCTATCCTTTTTATAAAAGTGTCCATACTTTTTTCACTGTGGAAAACATTAATTTAAGGTTATCTTTTGAGTGAGTTTTAAGATATTAATTTAGTAATTATAGGCGTCTAATGATTTATTTTTTACGTTACTGTATATATTATTATTAAATTAAAAACAATAAACATATATATTACATATTTATTATTATCTTTGGTTAATATTGTTAAATTTAAATTCTAAATAATATTTTATAAAATATCAAAACAATCAAATAATTTTTTGTGTAAATGAAATTATTAAATTAATATTGTAGGTAGAAAATATGAAACACTATTAAAAAAATTGAAACATAAATTACATAACTTTAAAAAAAGTATAGATCATTTTTATAAAAAGTATGGACACTTTCAATATAATAGGTAAAAATATAATGTAATAGGTAACGCTTATATAATGTAATAGATAGCGTTTATATAATGTAATAGGTAGTGTTTATATTGTAAAGTATCTATCCTTTTTATAAAAGTGTCCATACTTTTTTCACTGTGGAAAATATTAATTTAAGGTTATCTTTTGAGTGAGTTTTAAGATATTAATTTAGTAATTATAGGCGTCTAATGATTTATTTTTTACGTTACGATATATATTATTATTAAATTAAAAACAAAAAACATATATATTACATATTTATTATTATCTTTGGTTAATATTGTTAAATTTAAATTATAAATTTTATAAAATATCAAAACAATCAAATAATTTTTTGTGCAAATGAAATTATTAAATTAATATTATAAGTGGAAAACATGAAACACTATTAAAAAATTGAAACATAAATTACATAACTTTAAAAAAAGTATCGATCTTTTTTATAAAAAAGTATAGACACTTTCAACATATTATAATGTAATAGGTAAATTTGTAATGTTATTGGTATAAATATACTGGTTTACTTATAAAATAGGTCAATATAAGCGCTACCTATTACATTATATAAGCGCTACCTAATATGTTAGTGTACTTTATAATATTTCCGGTTAAATAATATAACATAACCGGTCTAAATTTTAACCGGTCACTTGTTTAACCAGTCACACCGTATATTAGCCGTTTTTTAGACGCCGCACCGCAGAACTACCCTTCTATTAGGACACATTGATGAAGCAGCATTTTAGTTTTGGTTTAGATGCTCTATTAGGACACATTATCATGGGTTTTCTGTACTCTTTGAACAAAAATGTTCATGTTTGATGATATTAATATTAATAGAATGTGTTAATTAAGGAAAAATATATAAAATTGTATTAGATAAAAATAACAATTTCTTTTGAAAAAAACCCAATAACAGAAAAATGACGTAAATAATTTAAACTAACTATTAACTAATATGTACGTGAGGAGATCAAATTAGGTGATATTCAAGTGGATGAATGAATTGCAAATATCAGTATAATAGAGGGACCAAAAACAGAATTTTACCGATATATGATTTTTGCTCTTCTTTAGGCTTATCCCGTAGTTCCTAAAAAATGCTGTTCTTTAGCCTTATCCCATAGAAGTTCCTAAAAAGGCATATCCTTTTCCAACTGTTCTCCTTTCCGAAGTTGAAAGCTTTATTTATAACACGAAGCAATCCAAGAAGATATAGTGAAAGGCCAGGCCTACTGGAAACTCAGTTAAGAATAAAAGGAGGAATGGCTGATTCTTTATGTTTAACTTGTGTTCGTTCCTTGAGCGCTCCTAATAAACCAGGTACTCTAAAAAGTAGTAGTTTTTAGTTTCATTGGATTAATCTTAGACCCAGTTTTTATTTCATTGATTCTAGGGATAACTATCAGTGATTCTATTCCAAGGAAGGTTCTTAGGGTAAATGAAGTGTTTAAGAGCTCCAGGAATGTCAAACTTGAGTCTTTTGAGGCCTAGGTGAGATTTATTTTTCTATTTTAACTACCTCTTCCATAAATCGTCATAAGTTTGCATTTTGTTAGTGAAATTGTGGAACTTGAAGTCTTCTATTCCGGATTTGTTATAATCTCCGTCATTAATTTCTGGTTCCTGCTTGCAAGTTACCTTGGTATCTGGTTTAACAGGCTGCAGATAAAAATCAAAGCACTCAATCGAAGAGTATTGTTTGCCCCGATTATGAAGCAAACGGTAAGCAGAATTGTGGCTAATTACTTTTTATCTTTGGACAAGTCTTTTCTGTTGATATACACTGATATCAAATGTTCCAAAGATTTATTTATTTGTTTGTTTTTCTGCATAACTTGTTTCTACGCCGACTACCAGAAGGTTCGAAACCGTGTCCTCAATGCAAAGGTACCGGATTTAATTCGGTTGATCACTTCAACGGAATATTTAAAGCCGGTGGACTGTGTTGGCTTTGCAGGTGCGCCATCAACTAACGGCCACCAAACAATGCTTCTTCTCCTCTCTTGTCCAGCTCTGAAACACCGGATGTGAATAAAGGTGTTGAGTTTATATAGAACAGGGGGCTGAGTTTACAAGACAATGGAGCTTACCTCGGAAACTTTGTTCAGTTTATCCCGGACATTTTGCAACAGTTGGGAAAGGTTACCAGCCCATTTATAAAATTCCTACTCCTTGTTGTCGAGTAACTTCTCAGCTACCTGATACAAAGAGGGTGAGAAAAGGTGTTCGAGTCTACGACCTAATAAACCGAACCAAGGGGACAAAGTCGGTATCGATTGCAGCCTGCAAGGCCGGGACATGTTGGAATAAAAGCACTACTATGAGGTATCAACTAGATAGACGCTTGCAAGATATTTGAGACGATGGTTAAGAGGAAAATACATGAGTTTACCTTCTTCCCGATCATCCGACCACCGGTCGAGTGTGCAAAGTATGTGTTGTAGAAATGGCATATGAAGGCTTGAGGATCGTTCTCAGATACTTGATTAAGATGCTCTGCATAGGTAACACCAGGAGATAATGGTCCTGGAATGCCATAGCCTTGCTCTTCGAACCACTTTAAGTCGTTTGCCAATTTTTAGACCTTCCCAATCCCGTGTTTTTGAATTCGGCATCTGCAGCCGAACCGGACATACACATTAGTTCTATCATCTAAGAAACTTCAAGATTCATTGTTATCTAAGAAACCTCTGTTCACACATGACCAGATTCTATAATCAATCAAGATCCTATGAAAAACATAAGCATTAATAGAACTCCAACACATAATATATATACACCAAATTAAACAGTTCAAAAAGAACGAAATTATGCTAATGAAAAACAAATAGCTAAAAAGGGTAGAAGTATTGAAAAGTAAACTTACAGATAAGGGCTTTATCAACAATACTTTCAAGCGTATCATAGACCAATTTGCTATCCACAAGGAACTTCAAGTAGCCGTCAATGGTGGGCTCCCATTGCCGCACGGAACGTTCTTCGGGCTGTTTAACTTCCGTTTCTCCCTCCTTTGCTTGCTCTTTAGTATGCAGTTTCATAGTCACGAACCTCATCTCCTCCACGAACCCTTTAGCCTCTCCAGGGTACCTCTTCTGGGGCATCTCCCTCGTGGAAGCCGACACGAGGTAGCTCTTAGTAGTAGGGATGGGCATGTGTCGGGTTGGATCGGATTTTTTGTCCACTCGACCCGACCCGAGATCAAGAAACCTTCCACTCGAGACCCGACCCGAGATCAAAAAATCTTCCACTCGAGACCCGACCCGAACAAAACAAGATTTTATCCGACCTGAACCCGACCTGATATATAACTTAAAAACCCGACTTGACCCGAAATAATAAAAAAATACTTTTATTTAATAAAAACAGCGACTTAATTGAAAAAATAATATATAGAGGGAGTGGAGTTGAAACTTCTTCTCTCAATCACTCCAATCATCCATCTCACCTAGTGGATGTTGAAAATTAAAATAAACTTTCGGTGGAAAGTTAGGATTAAATTAATTCCACCGAAAGTTATACAATAGTGAAGTCAAAGTTGACTTGATTTTGTTGATTTTTTGCAATGGTAAAATCTCAATTTTAGTCATTGTACTTTAGGGTATTTACAAGATTAGTCATTAAGCTTCAACTATAAATATCCTAACCCATTTAGCTTCAAAATCATTCCAAATCATTATAGCTTTCTTCCAATACTAGAGAATTTAGAGAGTTTCTTGAGAGTTTTTTTCTCATTTTCATCAAGAGAAAATTATCATTGTTTTCTCCTTGTTAGATCGAGAGAAGTTGTAATTCTTATTTTCTCATAGTAAAATTCTTCTACCGTTGCCTGTAGTTTTTATCCTATATTATTTAGGGGTTTTCCACATAAAATTTGTATCTTCTTTATCTTCATTTTTATTTTCTCAAATTATTAGTTTCAATTTTGCTCTATCCGATAGCTGTATTCTGTAATAATTGGTATCAGAGCTAGATTTGAGTATGTAATATCTACTTATTATCTTTGTGGTTGCCACCAAAAGGTGAATCCTCCATCATAGGAAAGTAAGAAGGTATTACCCATTCTTTGAAGGTTCCAGAGAATTATTCACAATAGTAAAATAGTGGAAGCTATCCGTAATAGAAGCTATGGCAACGAAATTTGATATTGAAAAGTTCAATGGGAGAAATTTCTCATTGTGGAAATTAAAGATGAAGGCCATCCTGAGGAAAAACGGTTGTCTAGCAGCTATCAATGAGAGGCCTGTAGATTTCACAGATGGCAACAAATGGATCGAAATGGACGAGAATACTATGGCAAACTTTCATCTAGCATTAGCAGATAAAGTATTGTCAAGCATCGAGGAGAAGAAAACAGCTAAGGAGATATGAGATCATCTCACCAAATTATACGAGGCCACATCGTTGCACAATAAAATTTTTCTTAAGAGGAAATTGTACACTCTTCGTATGCCATAATCTACTCCAGTGACGGAGCACTTAAACACACTGAACACTTTATTTTCTCAACTTACATCCTTAAGATGTATAATAGGAGAACAAGAACGTGATGAACTTTTACTTCAAAGTCTACCTGATTCGTATGATCAACTCATCATCAACTTGACAAACAGTAATGTCACCAGTCTAGTCTTTGAAGACGTTGCAGCTGCTGTTCTATAAGAAAATCAACGCAAGAACAAGGAAGACAGACAAGTAAATCTGTAACAAGCAGAAGCATTAACAACGATGAGAGGGAGATCAACAGAACGTGACCAAAGCAGTAGTTACAAACATGGTAGATCGAAGTCGAGGAGCAAGAAGAATTTAAAGTGCTACAACTGTGGAAAGAAAGGTCACTTGAAGAAGGATTGTTGGAGTCTAAATAAAAACTCAAATCCATAAGGCAATACCGCAAACACTTCAGATGATGGAGATGCTCTATGTTGTGAAACGCCAACCACCGTGGCAGGCAGAAAAAGATTTGCAGATATATGGCTCATTGATTCAGGAGCAACATATCACACGACCTTAAGAAGAGAATGGTTCCATCATTATGAACCTGTCTCAGGAGGATCTGTGTATAGTTGAAATGATCATGCCTTAGAGATTGTTGGTGTGGGAACCATCAAATTGAAGATATATAATGGAACAATTAAAGTTGTTCGAGATGTGCGACACGTGAAAGGCCTGAAGAAAAATGTATTATCCTACGGATTGTTGGATAATAATGCAAGCAAGATTGAAACACGAAAATGAATCATGAAGGTGCTCCGTGGAACGCTTGTGGTGATGAAAGACGAAAAGATAGAAACAAACTTGTACATGCTGAAGGGAGAGACTTTGATAGAAGCAGAAGCCTCTGTTGCCTCATGTAGTTCAGATTCTGCAATGCTATGACATCATAAACTTGGACACATGTCAAAACAAGGAATGAAAATCCTTGTGGAACAAAGGCTACTTCCAGACTTAACAAAGGTATCATTTACTTTGTGTAGCATTGCATAACAAGTAAGTAGCACCGGTTGAAATTCAACACGTCAAATTCTAGAGGCAAAAGTGTTCTAGAATTGGTTCAGTCTGACGTATGGAAAGCACTAGTTATATCCTTAAGTGGAGCAAAATACTTTGTCTCATTTATTGATGACTACTCTAGGAGATGTTGGGTGTATCCTATTAAGAAGAATTCAAATGTGTTTTCAACTTTCAAAAAAATCAAAGCACGGGTGGAACTTGATTATGGAAATAAGATCAAGTGTTTCAGAACAGATAATGGAGGAGAATACACAAGTGAATAATTTGATGACTTTTGCAGGAAAGAAGGCATCAAAAGATAGTTCACAGTGGCAAACACTCTTCAACAAAATGGAGTGACAGATCTGATGAATAGAACCTTGTTAGAAAGAACAAGAGCAATGCTGAGAGCTGCAGGCCTAGAAAAATCATTTTGGGCAGAAGTAGTCAATACCGCCTGTTATTTGGTGAATCGAGCTCCATCAACTGCAATAGAGCTGAAGACACCAATGGAGATGTGGACTGGTAAACCAGCTGATTATTCAAACCTCCATGTATTTGGAAGTATTGTGTATGATATGTACAACTCCCAAGAAATTTCAAAGTTGGATCCAAAATCTAGGAAATGCAAATTCTTGGGGTATTCTGATGGAGTAAAGGGGTATCTCTTGTGGGATCCCACTGCCCGCAAAGTGATCATCAGCAGGGATGTTATCTTTGTAGAAGATAAGCTACAAAGAAAAGAAGACGATGATAGCGTTGAAAAGTAAGAGACTACACATATATATGTAGAAAAGGAGTTTGAACAAGGAGATTCTTCTGAACCAGAACCAGTACATGATGAACAAGAACCAGAGAGTTCTGAAGCTCTAATAACTCGTCAATCAGATCGTGTGAGAAGACATCCCAATTGGAACTCAGATTATGTTATAGAATGAAATATTGCATACTGCCTTTTAACAGAGGACGGTGAGCCATCAACATACCAGAAGGCAATAAACAACTCAGATACTTCACTGTGGATGATGGCGATGCAAGAAGAAATAGAATCCCTTCATAAAAATAATACATGAGATCTTGTGCCACTACCACAAGGAAGGAAGCCAATTGGTAACAAATAGGTCTTCAAAATCAAGCGAAATGGTGACGATCAAGTTGAGAGGTATCGTGCAAGACTGGTGGTCAAATGATATACTCAAAAAGAAGGTATCGATTTCAATGAAATCTTTTCTCCTATGGTTAGACTAACAACAGTTCGAGTAGTCTTGGCAATGCGTGCTACATTGAATTTACATCTAGAGTAGCTAGATGTTAAAACAACTTTTCTTCATGAAAATCTTGAAGAAGAGATTTACATGCTCTAGCCTGAAGGTTTTGAATAAAAAGAAAAGAAGAACTTGGTTTGCAGGTTGAAAAATCTCTGTACGGTCTAAAACAAGTGCCGAGGTGTTGGTATAACAGATTTGATTCCTTCATTATGTGCCTTGGATACAACAGACTTAACACAAACCCTTGTGCTTATTTCAAGAGGTTTGGTGATAACGATTTTGTTATACTACTATTGTATGTGGATTACATGTTGGTTGCAAGACCCAACAAAGATCATATTAAAGAATTGAAGGCACAATTGGCTAGGGAATTTGAAATGAAGGACTTGGGATCAACAAACAAGATTCTAGGGATGCAAATTCACCGAGACAGAAGTAATAGGAAGATTTGGCTTTCACAAAAGAATTACTTGAAGAAGATATTGTCACGATTCAACATGCAAGATTGTAAGCCAATTTCTACCCCTCTTCCTATTAACTTCAAATTATCTTCCAGTATGAGTCCTAACAGTGAACAAGAGAGGATGAAGATGTCTCGAGTGCCGTATGCATCGGCAGTGGGAAGTTTAATGTTCGCTATGATATGCACAAGACCAGACATTGCACAAGCAGTGGGAGTGGTTAGTCGGTACATGGAGAATCCAGGCAATGAGCATTGGAATACAGTAAAGAGGATCCTGAGATACATCAAAGGGACCTCAAATGTTACATTATGTTACGGAGGATCAAACTTACTAATCAATGGGTATGTAGATTCTGACTATGCAAGGGAATTGGATAAAAGCAAATCTACTACAGGATATGTGTTCAAAGTTACTGGTGGAGCTGTAAGCTGGGTTTCAAAATTACAGTCAGTTGTGGCTATATCCACAACAGAGGCAGAATATGTAGTAGCTAGATAAGCCAGTAAAGAAGCAATTTGGTTGAAGATGCTATTGGAGGAGCTTAAGCATAATCAAGAGTATGTCTCTTTGTTTTGTGACAGTCAAAGTGCCTTGCATCTAGCAAGGAATCCAACATTTCATTCAAGGACAAAGCACATACAAGTTCAGTACCATTTCATTCGTGAAAAGGTGGAAGAAGAGACAATAGATATGCAGAAGATCCATACCAAAAACAACATAGCAGATTTCATGACGAAGCAGATCAATGTTGATAAATTTACTTAGTGTCGATCCTCTTGTGGCCTGATAGAAACATAAGCAACATGAAGGTACAAGGTATAAAGAATGGTGTGAAGATATGATTGTTTTCAATCAAATCTTCAAGTGGGAGATTGTTGAAAATTAAAACAAACTTTTGGTGGAAAGTTGGGATTAAATTAATTCCACCGAAAGTTGCACAATGGTGAAGTCAAAAGTTGGCTTGATTTTGTTGATTTTTTGGCAATGGTAAAATCTTAATTTTAGTCATTGTATTTTAGGGTATTTACAAGATTAGTCCTTAAGCTTTAACTATAAATACACTAACCCATTTAGCTTCAAAATCATCCCAAATCATTCTAGCTTTCTCCCAATACTAGAGAATTTAGAGAGTTTATTGAGAGTTGTTTTCTTCTTTTTATCAAGAGAGAATTATCATTGTTTTCTCCTTGTTAGATCTAGAGAAATTGTAATTCCTATTTTCTTATAGTGAAATTCTTCTACCGTTGCCCATGATTTTTACTCTATATTATTTAGGGATTTTCCACGTAAAATTTGTGTCTTCTTTATCTTCATTTTTATTTTCTCAAATTATCAGTTGCGATTTTGCTCCATCCGATAGCCGTATTCCGCAACAGTGGAGTGGAGTAACCTTTATGATTGAGTTCCAAGCTCCTAGATCATTAGCTTGAATGAAGATCATAATCTTATTCTTCCAATAGGCATAATTAGCTCCATTGAAATACGGTGACTTGTTGATCGATTGAGAGTCTTCAAGGTAGTAAGAGCTGAAAGTCGAAGCCATCTTTTTGTCGGTTGCTTTGGGAATCGATAGAACTTCTTCTAGGATCGTCTCAAGGTTGTTAGATATTCTAATGAGTTAAACTCTGATACCAATTGTTGGGATTTTCGAAACTCTAATTGGACAACCTAAAATTTGCACAAAGGGGTGAATTGACAGAAATTTATTTAGGGAGTAAAGAGAATAAAAGATAGAAAAATTAGCACAACGATTTATAGTGGTTCAACTTCTCGACTAAGTCTACCTCTACTACCTTAGGTTATCACCAAAGATTTTCTAACAAATTCACTAATTTGTTATTTCTTTTTACAGGATCAAGAGATAACCTTTACACTCCCTAGTTTTTCACTTGGCTAAACTAACCAAACCCCTTTACAAAAAGATAAAAAGAAGTAAACAAATAAAACCACTAAAATGCAGGGTGTTTACAAATTTAAAGCTCACAAGAACAAAATATTTACAAGATAATAGGAATAAATAGTGAAAAACTCTTCTCTTGTGTTTGAATGCTTGAATATGTGTTCTAACCCTGCTTTAAGTGTCCTCAACTTGTATTTATTTGTTGGAATGAAGTTGTGGCTGTTTCTAATCGTTGGGAGTGATTTAGAGCCGTTGGGGATGTTTTTCTCTATAAAATAAAACTGCCCAATACAGATGGTATCGGTACTCCTACAGGGAGTATCGGTACTACCTTTGTTATTTTTAAATAAATCTAGTCGTTGGGCCTGACGATCGATACCGTTTTTGTATTATGAAATTTGAGAAATGCTGAAAGTATCGATACTCAACCTTACTTAAGGTATCATTCCATATGAACATTATCAGTACTTTTCATGAGGTATCGATACTGTAAGAACAATATCAATACTTCTTGTTCAGAACAACATTTTGTGCTTAATTCCAAGTTAAATAGACTTTGAATTATTTTTGAAAACTTTAAACAAATTCAATTCAAGTCCAAAAATATTTTACCATAAATTATTATATCAAAACATAGTTCAACGAAGTATAAAATTAAATCTTTACAATATTACCTCTTATTTATTAAATTAGATAGATAATTATGAATAAATACTTTTTATATTCCGGATATAAATAAGATACACTTATTTCTTTTAACAAAATTCATTTAATAGTAACAACGTTACTATTATTTTTGTTTTAGTAATAATATAACTATTTGTTTATTAATTTGATATTTTAATATTTTTAAATAAATTGTATATTTTGAAAGTCTTAATACAAAAATAAGTATACAAATTATAATCAAAATTAATTTTTGGTGTTAAAGAATTTTTTGTCAAAAAGTTGTCTAAATTTTTTTTCTGTTTCACTTTTAGGTGCTTACCATCAAAAAGACCGTTAAATGACACATATCACATTTATATTTTTAATTTTTTAAAATAAAATATTATTTAAAATTATTGTTTTTAAAATTGAACATGATATATATTACTTAACAATTCTTTTTTAACGTTAAACACATAAAAGTAAAATAAAGAAAACATTAAATACTTATTTTTAATAAAATAAATCCTAAAACACTAAAATTAATTTCTAATAATTTAATTGCTTATTTTTACATTAAACCTTTTACAAATGATTCATTAGAGTAACAATTAAATAAGTATTGTCTTTTGTATAAGATAATAAGTTTCTTTAACATTCGTTAGGTCACGGGTAGAGCCGATAATCAGTTCATTTGGATTGGGTTTAAATCGAGTCATTTCAGGTTGAATTATTTTGGGCCTAGATTATATTCGGTTTAATTTTATTCCGGTTAAATCGGGTTTGATTTTGATTTAGTTCGGGTGTATGTAAATTAGGTCAGATCAAGTAACGGGTCGGGTCAATTTTTGAGTTAGGTGAATATCAGATCAGTTTTTTTTGTTCGGATAAATATCAAATCAATTGATTTTTTGGTCGAGTTAATATCAGATCGATTAGATTTCGGGCCAGGTCAATACTAGATTGGTTGATTTTCGAATATGTTAATATGAGATTAATTGATTTTCGAATCGGGTCAAACTTTAGATTATGTCAATTTGGATTGAACTAGTTATGCGTCTAATTAAATATATATATAATTATTAATATATTCTTGTAAAAACATGTCTTCTTATTTATTAGTGTTCTCATTTCGGTTACAAGTCTTATCAAATATATATAGATTTTCGGTTTAGATTGCTTTTGATTTAGATTAATTTCGGTCTGGGTTGTTTTTCGGTCCGGATTAAATTCAATTTGGGTTGTTTTGATTTTGGTTATTTTTAATCCGAATTGTTTTTGATTTGAGTTAACTTCGATTCAAATTATTTTTTATTTGAGTTAAATTAGATCTGAGTCCATACTAGATCATCTAAATTTTGGATCATATATGGTTTGGATTAGGTATGATTCAAGATTTGAGTCCAATTTGTTGGGTCTAGTCACGAGACAGGTGTAAAAAAAGAATAGAATTTAGGAAATAAAGAAAGAAAAGAAAATGGAAATCGACAGCCACAGCGAATGAAGCGCGTGGCTGTTGATTAATATGTCATTTGGCTTTGTTTTGTCGTATTTATGTCCCCAAACAATTAAGCGAATGGAGTTGACTTCTTTTGTTCGTTCGAAATATACATACAGAAAGATAAACAGTTGAATATATATTAAATTGTTGGTGAAATTTTTATGGGAAAATAGTAAGTTGAAAATGGTGAGCTCAGTGGAGAAAAAGGAAATGGAGAGTGGCGAAGGGGAAGCTGTTTGCTTGGAACTCCATGCTCCTCCTGGCTGGACCAAAAAAGTTTTTTTTTCCTTTCATAATCTCATCTTAGATTGCTTCAAATTTACCATGGCTTCTTATCATTTGATTTCTTTCTGCTTTGTATGCTTTACTTCTGTTAACTTACTCGTTAATTTCTCTAGGTTTCGCTTAATTGTTTTCATGGGTAATCTTGGTGGAATTTAGGGTTAATTTGTTCTTCTTCTAAGATTAATGATGAATTGTGAGTAATTTTTCTAATTTGGGGTTGTCAATTTCTTGGAAGCCAAGCAGTAGCTAGGGTTCTATTGGATTTTTTTTCTGTAATTTCTGTTTTAAAATAATTTTATAGGGGACGAATAAGCAAACAAATAAGAGCCTACGTAAAATTTAGTGATATTAGGTAGATGTGTGTTCATATGTGAAATACCATGTTAATTATTAGCTCCCATTTTTTACTGTGATATCAAGCTTACGTTTTCATTAGGCATCTAAGATTTTCTGGTTCTGTATTTAGTTTTCTGTCGATGAGCCAGTGCGACCTTAGGTTGTTGTCTTGTCTGCAGTTGATGCCGAGAAAACCGGGATACCTAAGAAAAACGACACCATATTCATTGCTCCCACAGGAGGGGAAATCAGTAGTAAGAGACAATTGGAACAGTATCTTAAAGCAAATCCCGGTGGTCCTGCTGTATCGGAATTTGATTGGGGTACGGGCGAGACCCCAAGGAGATCGGCGAGGATTAGTGAGAAGGTAAAAGCAATTCCGGAAAGTACTGAACCTCCAAGGAAACAAGGGAGAAAATCGTCAGCTTCAAAGAAGGATAACAAAGAATTGGAGACTGTCCCTGAAGGAACCGAGACTAAAGACGTTCATATGGAAGAGGCTGGAAATAAAAATAACGAAACGAGACATGGTGAAGATGTTAATGTATCTACTAATATTAAAGAAGGTAAGGAGAATGCTGAAGCAGTATCTGAAATGTTGAAGGGCCCCCAAGATGGAGTTGAAGCCAATGCTTCGGATAAAGGATTTGAGGATGCAACCTCTGAGGTAAAGCTTCAACAACCAGTGGATGAAGCAGAGAAAGGGCTTGGACCTGAGCAACATGCCAGACCCGGCATAGACGTTATTGCCAAGGAAATAAAAAATGAGGTAGTAGGAGAAGACAAAGCGAAATACGAAAGTAACACCGCTGAATCCGGAGGAGCAATCGAGGAGACAGAATCGATAAAATGCAACGAGGTACAAAACATAACGGGTGTTGACGGAAATAGCAAGAAAGAAGAAGAAGCAATTCGGAACGGTAGTAATGAAAGTAATGAGGTGGTGTAGAAAACGGTTGTAGCTGGTTATTTCTGTTTGTGCAGTTAGAGAATTAGTTAATTTGTTTTGGTTAGTTACAAGTTAGTTAGATACTTAGTTGTTTTATAAATACACTGGTTGTATAATTTTAAACTGTACAGAAATAAAGAGGACTTTCCAGTATCCTTGAACTAGCGTTTAACATGGTATCATTCGGTTCATTTCTGGGCTCTTGGGTTATTGGGCTTCCTTCACGCTAGTCCATCTTTGTCTCTTGTTTCTGCGTAGGTTTCCTAATTCCTGTATTGCTCTCTGCGTTTCTTTTCTTTCTTTGTTCGCGATGCCTCCACGAGATGCCTTGGAGATCGATTTCACGCACCCCTTGTATTTGTATCCATCCGATACGCCAGGAGCTGTTCTTGTTTCTTACCAGCTCACCGGAGTTCATGATTACAACGTCTGGAGTCGGTCAATGCGCATCTTTCTCCTCGCGAGGAATAAGATAGGGTTTATTGATGGGATTTGCCGTCGGTCTGATTTCGTGGAGCAGCTTCAATCGCAGTGGGATAATTGCAACGCGATTGTCCTCTCCTGACTAATTAATTCGGTCAGCAAGGATCTCTTAGCAGGTATTGTTTTTTCCTCGAGTGCTGCCCTTGTATGAACCGATTTGAAAGAGCGGTTTGACAAGGTGGATGGTTCTCTGATTTATTTTCTACACCGAGAAATTGCAACTCTGGTTCAAGGAGATTCTTCGATTTCGTCGTATTTCACAAAATTGAAGCTCCTTTGGAACGAGTATGGTGCTTTGGTACCTCTTCCTTCCTGCGATTGCGACAATGAACAGCAAAATTCTGCTAAAGCTCTTCAGCAACGTTTATTCCAATTCCTAATGGGATTGAATGAATCATATTCCGCTGTGCGTAGCCAGATCCTCCTAATGCAGTCGTTACCAAATGTCAATCGTATTCTACTGGTATACCTTTGACCTATGATTCAACCATTTTTTATTCTAATTCTTCTGCATCTCCTGGCAGAACGGGTCGACGCTGATTTAATGGAACCTGTGACCATTGTAAAATTAAAGGTCATAAAAAGGACCAATGTTACAGATTGATAAGGTTTCCTGCTAATTTCAAATTTGATCGAAAGAAAGATGCTTCAACTGCTCTTACTGGCAAACTTGAAGATCATGTTCCTTCTTCTGTTCCTCATGTGTCCACTGCTCCCGTATTTACTCAAGAACAATACAACCAGATATTGAGTTTGTTGCATCAAACTCCAGCCTCAGAGTCATCGGTTAATCTTGTGGGACAAGCTTCAGGTATAATTTCTTCTATAAAGTGGATCTTAGACACTGGTACTACTGATCATATTACGTTTGAATTCTCTTGCTTGACAAATCCTGTTGCATGTGCTTCCAAAAATAGATTTGTTCATCTTCCTAATGGTAAAAAAGCCCTCATTACTCATACTGGTTCTTATATCCTTAGCAAAGACCACATTATTCATAATTTTTTATTTATCCCTGACTTTAGAAATAACCTTTTTTCTATCACTAAACTAACCAATGAGCTTCACTGTGTTGTTTCGTTGTATCCTGCATTTTGTATCCTGCAGGATATCTCCAGTGGAAAGATCAAGGGGATTGGTAAGGAACGAGGAGGTCTTTACTTGCTCGAGTATTCTTTTGCATCTTCGGGTTTGACTTCATCTTCTTCTCATGTTTCTTCATTTTCGAATTCTTCTGTTTGTAAGTCTGTAAATCATCGTTCTCCTACTGTTACTGAACTTTGGCATGCTGCCATTAATAAAATTCACAAGTTGTCTGTTCTCCAATCTGTTAAGTTTAGTCCTAGTGATGTGCAACATTGTTCAATATGTCCTATGGCTAGACAAACACGTTTGCCATTCCCTTTGAGTACTTCTAGAACCGAACATCCTTTTTAATTACTTCACATTGATCTTTGGGGTCCCTATGGCATTTCTACTCATAGTGGACATCAGTATTTTATTACGGTTGTCAATGATTTTAGTCGTATGACTTGGGTATTTTTATTACAACTTAAGAATGATGTTGTTATTCATTTTAAATCCTTGTTCCTAATGATTAACAATCAATTCTCTACTTCTGTTAAAATAATTCGTAGTGACAATGGGACCGAATTCTTCAATTCGGTTTGTTCTCCTTTGTTTTCTTCCCTTGGCATAATTCATCAATCGAGTTGTGTCCATACTCCTCAGTAAAATGGAGTAGTTGAGCGTAAGCATAGGCATTTACTTGAGGTTGCTCACGCTCTAAGGTTTCATTCTAAAGTTCCTTTGAAATTTTGGGGTGAATGTGTTATTGCTGCTTGTTATATGATAAATAGATTACCCTCTTCTGTTTTATCTTGGTTAACTCCTTTTGAATTGTTGTACAAAAAACCTCCTTCCTTATCTCACATTCGTGTTTTTGGATGTCTTGCCTATGCCACTCAGACACATTTAACTGATAAATTTGCTTCACGAGCCATTCCCTCTGTATTTTTTGGGTATTCCTCTACTCAAAAAGGCTATCTTTTATTTGATATTGAAAAAAAATTCTTTTTTGTCAATCGTTATGTTGTTTTCCATGAGTCTGTTTTTCCTTTCAATTTTCCTCAACAGTCTGATCTTTTTTTCCTGCTCAAACTTATAAGGGTGATGATGAATTCTTGGTTCTATCTCAACCTTCTATCTCTCCTAATGATCCATCTTCGCCAATTTTACCCGAATCATCAGAACCTTCTGCTTTTCCATTGCGTAAGTCTTCTCGAGCATCTAGACCTCCTACATGGCTACAAGATTATGTGCGTTCCAATCAGTTTTCTTCTTCTTTTTCCACTTGTAAGTACCCTCTTATTCATAATGTTTCTTATGATCATTTACCCGTTCATACACAATTTTTTCTTGCTACCACTTCATCCATTATTGAACCACAATCTTATTCTGAAGCTATTTCTAACCCAGTTTGGATTAAAGCCATGCAAGAAGAAATTCAAGTATTAGAATTCAATGGTACTTGGTCTGTAGTGCCTTTGACTCAAGGAGTGACTCTCATTGGTTGTAAATGGGTTTTCCGTGTCAAATATAAAGCTGATGGCATAGTCGAGCGTTTCAAAGCACGTCTTGTGGCTAAAGGTTACAATCAAAAGAAGGGTGTTGATTTTGTTGAAACTTTTTCTCTTGTAGCAAAATTAGTCACTGTTAGGACTGTTCTTGCTCTTGTTGCCATGAATGACTGGCCTTTTTTTGAAATAGATGTGCATAATGCTTTTCTTCAAGGTGATCGCTTTGAGGAAATATACATGAAGCTGCCTGAGGGTTTTAGCAGCCAGGGGGAGAATATGGTTTGTCGGCTGCAAAAATCTCTCTATGGTTTGAAGCAAGCTTCACGACAGTGGAATTTGAAGCTTACTGAAGCATTGGTAACGACAGGATATCAGCAGAGTAAGTTTGATTACTCGATGTTCACAAAAATGGAGGGTGACAAATTAGTGGTAATACTAATTTATGTAGATGATCTTCTGTTAACTGCCAATGATTTAGTATTGATCAATGAGTTGAAAGACATGTTAAACTGCAGTTTTAAGATGAAAGATTTGGGAGAATTGAAATACTTCTTAGGACTTGAGGTCTTAAGGTCAGAAGAAGGGATTGTGTTGAATCAAAGGAAATACGCTTTAGAATTACTAAAGGAGTCTGGTCTTGAAGGAGTCAAACCAGCCTTGACCCCTTTAAAGCAAAATTTAAAGCTTACCTCCACAGAATATGATGAACATTTGCAGCAAAAGAAAGAAGAAGTACTGGTTAAAGAAAAGTCAACTTTTCAAAGGTTAATTGGAAGACTAATATACTTAACACATACTCGGCCAGATATTACATTTGTTGTTCATCATCTTAGTCAGTTTATACAACAACCGAAGGAAACACATCTAGAGGTAGCATTGAGAATTGTCAGGTATTTGAAGAAGGAACCAGGACAGGGGATATTGTTGAAGAAAATGGGCAATAGTCAGCTGTCAGCATACTGTGATTCAGACTGGGCTTCATGCCCTATGTCACGAAAATCAGTTACTATTTTTTTGCATAAAGTTAGGTGATTCTTTGATATCCTGGAAATCAAAGAAATAAAATACAGTGGCAAGATCATCGGCAGAAGCTGAATATCGAAGTATGGCAATGGTTGCAGCTGAAATAGTGTGGTTAAATGACATTTTGAAGGAATTGCAATCTGATATTTTGAGGCCAGCAAAGCTGTACACTGATAGCAAAGCAACATTACAAATTTTAGCAAATCCAGTATTTCATGAACGGACTAAGCACATTGACATAGATTGCCATTTTGTTAGAGAAAAGATACAAGAAGGACTAATCAAAGCTGAGTATGTATCATCTGTAGAACAACTTGCTGATATTTTAACTAAAGCACTTGGGATACAACATCATAATTATTTGGTGGGCAAGTTGGGGATGAAAAATGTTTTAATCCCTCAACTTGAGGGTGAGTGTAGAAAACGGTTGTAGCTGGTTATTTCTGTTTGTACAGTTAGAGAATTAATTAATTTGTTTTGGTTAGTTACAAGTTAGTTAGATACTTAGTTGTTGTATAAATATACTGGTTGTATAATTTTAAACTGTACAGAAATAAAGAGGACTTTCCAGTATCCTTGAACTAGCGTTTAACAGGTGGGCATGGTCAAGCCTGGAGTTTGATCGAGGATTGTTTAACTGATAGATCGAGACAGCTTTCTATATACAACGTATGTAAATCAAATGTGTAGTTTCCAGTGATAGTGCAAATGGATGTGCATGTTTATGCTTTTCAACAATAAGGAATTATCTGATAGTCTTGCATATTGCCATAATCAGCCTAATTCAGTGATTCGCTTACTGTGTCATTGCCTTTTCTTTTTAACTTTTCTCATTTCTCACTGAACAAACAGAGGAGATGGAATTGATGCTTTGACCCCTTCTTCTTCAAGAAATATCAAAGCTCCAACCCATCCGCGGAGCTAGAGGTGCACAAAAAATCCGAATATCCGATTTTGCGCAAAAAATATCCGAAACTGGATTTGGGAAATCGATTTTTTTAAACCAGATCTTCGGAATCCGTTTTTTCTGTTAGTGGCAGGGTTATATCGCAACGGAGATCAAGACTAAGTCCCGAGTCGGTGGAAGCATGCATTTGTTTGAAGGATTATTTGGATGGAGCGGCTCGGAAGCAACATATCACCACCCTAGAAGATGCAATTGATGCCAATTTAGAAGCAAACTTACACATTGAAGAAGCCGAACTTGGAATATCCCCTCCAAACGAAGAAGGCGAAGATGATGAAGAAGAGATGGCGATGTAGTTTATTTTTAAACTTTGTTTCAATTATCGTAAACTCTGTTTCAATTATCGAACTTGGAAGTTTTTAAGTATTTGAATTTATCGAACTTGGAAGTATTTAAGTATTTCAATTATCGTAAACTTTGTTGCAATTGATGACGATGTAATTTTAACATTGTAATATTTAAGTATTTTAATTTATCGTTAATGAGTGTCTTGTGTATATGCTCTTCACATGCATAAAATGTTTATAAATACAACTAATTTATCTAGAATAGTTGTGCTTTGATTAGCTTTTAGTTTGTGATAGGTGTGCGTGAAATGGAGCTTAAATGAGGATCTAATGCGATTAAGTGGAAGATAATGAAAGCTTGTAAGAAATGTGGATGAATGTGCTTTGATGAGAGTGTTTAATAAGGAAGAACAAAGAAAACAGGACAAGAGTAGTGCTGCTCAGCATTACTCTCAAAGTCTTCAGGAGGAGGAGTAGAAACAGATTGCACAAGAGTAGTGTTGCTCACCACTACCGATTTTTTTATATCCGGTTTTTTTAAAAAACTGTTTTTTTTCAAACCGAAACTGGTTACACCATCCGACCCTCCAAACCGGTTAGGATCCAAACCGGTTAGGATCCAAACCGGTTTTTTCAAAATCTAATTTTTTAACTAGGTGAAAAAACCGGATCGGTTTTTATCCGATTCAGATCTGCTTTTTATCCGACTTTGTGCATGTCTACGCGGAGCCAGGCTTTGCTGAACACTTAAATTTTCTCTAAATATTTTGGTCATCGTTTTTTAAGCTTATTTATTTCCCAACCAAACAACCTTTCAAATATAATATATATTCTGTTCGACAAAAATATAATATATATTCAATGCTTTAATAATATAAAGTGGAGGAAGCTTTCAAATTGCAGCTAATTCAGGCTGTTCTTTATAGCGTCCATAACTACTGGACGAGACAGTTTTGTTTACCGAGGGCTATCATCAAATGAATAAATCAAATGTGCACAGGTGAGGACAAGCTTACTAAGGGTGATTGTTTTTTTGTTGAGGACATTTGTCGCCCGAAATAGGGGGGGTCTTGGGCTCAAGGACTTTTTTTGTTGGAGCCAAGCTTGTTTCCTCCTTTTGATTAGGAAGATCCTTCTGAAGGAGGGTTCGATGTGAATTGTGTGGATCCATTCTTATGTTTTTAACAGAGACTCCTTCTGACAGATTAAGGGTCTCCAAGGTTGTAGCTGGACATGGAAGTGTTTGTTGCGCCTTCGAAGTAAAACGAATGGTATCTGGGGGTTCCTTGGGCCTTTGTTCTCGTCAGTTAACTGTATTTTGGGGAGAGATTCTACCTAGGGGAAGAAGGTCTGCTGGGAGCGTTTGGTGTGGCATTCAGCTCACATTCTTAAGCATTCAACCATAGCTTGGATTGGGGTTTTGAATCAGCTTCCTACAAAAGACAGGCTTATTGCTTTTGGATTTTAGGTTGATGGTGTATGTGTCCTTTGTAGACGTGATTCGGAGTCTCGTGATCATTTATTTTTTCAATGTGATTTCTCCAGGAAGGTGTGGGAGGAGATTATGTGTTTGTGCTATTTGTATAGGAATGTTATGAGCTAGGATTGAGAGCTTACATGGGCTTGCAGGATGCGGGTCAGTCTACATCGTCTTTAATGCTGAAATTTGCTTGGAATGGTGCTATTTCTTTGATTTTGGAGAAAGTGTAATTGTAGGATTTTTCGGAATAGTGATATCTCGATCTCGTGCATTGTTTGCCAGGTTGAAGGAGATTGTTAGACTTAGGATAATTGGTAAGAAGATTAATAGATTGGGAGATGGTTATAGAAGGATTTGTTCTAGCTAGAACCTTGAGGATTAGGTGTGGTTCTTACGGTTTTGGTTGTATTTTTGTATTGCTGGTTTATTGAGTTTTAATGCTGTTCAAGTCTATCCATCTAAAAAAATATAAAGTGAATTATATTTTAGGTTAAACTATGCATTTAGTACTTAAATTATCAGTTTTGATCTGTTTTAATACCTAAACTTTTAATTTTAGTTTTTATTTCATTTTACTATCCATTAGAAACTTATCGTTAAGTTCTGAAAAAATTGAAAGTTAAGGTACTAAAACGGACCAAAATTGATAGTTTAGGTATTAAACATATTAAGTTTTTTACAACGGATACTAAAATGAAATAAAAACATGTTAGGTATGACTTTAAAAAAATTAAAAATTTAAGTCCTAAAATAACCAAAACTAATAGTTTAGGCACAAAATGCATGGTGTACCATGGATTTTATTATCTCATTAGAAATTATATTTTTAAAAAGAATATTTAGTTAAGAGATATTTTCTTAAAAATATTCATATAATTTTTTATAGTTATCACTTATCTAATAATCGATTAATTTAAATCATATATTATAATAGTTTATTATAAGAGCGATTCACCTGACTCAATTTTCTTCATTTAGATATTAGAATTCAAATTCTTGATATTGCTCAAGAAATCTAATGTCAATTGATAATTAATCATTGTTTTGATATAATTGTTGGCATCTAAATTGGATAGGATATTGTAGAGAACCATATTTTTTTCATTCACATTATAATAATTAAAATCGTTTAAGAAATGTAGCATTCTTTTTTACCCATTTTGATAATTTCTTTAATCTTTCATGTATAAAGAAAGTAGTGGGAAGGGGCCATTGTTCAACAAAATGCGGTCGGTTTCCAGGCATTCAAGGATGTGGAACTCAGCAACGGCTTTACCTTTTCTTTATACATTGGTTTAATTTTGATTTTAATCCCTTCACTAAAATTTATAATTTAATTTGATTCTTCACTTTTTCTATAATGTTATCTATAGATCCAAAATATTAGTTGTTTTCATTAAAGTGATGACATGGAATTTATTTTTAAAAAAACATGTACATTAAGTTAATTTGTAAATTTATTTCTAGTATATGTTTCATTTTTAGCGTTCCATTTACCTGCTTTTAGGAATCGATTCGTTTATGAAGTTTTAAAATCGTATGACCTATTTGTAATATAATTAATAATTGAGTGAGTTATGGTACAATTTAGCCTTAAATATAATGGTAAAGCATGTGAATAATGACTCTTTAGTAATTACGGGTTAGGGGTGAGCAAAATTCGGCTCGACTCGAAAAATTGATTTTTTTGACTCAACTCGAATTGATTTAGAGTTGTAATTTTATAAACTCGACTTGATTCAAAAAAATTTCAAGTTCAAATCTAATTGTAAAATACAACTCCGTTGGGATGTTCTTGGTGAGTTTCATAGTTCAAGATTCGCTTTTAATGGAGGATTTTAAGTAGATTTTGATCATTAGAGTAAATGTTGTTTACTGGGGTTTTTTTTTGCAGTGTTTAATTTTACTACCGGAACACATAATGTTGCCGAGGTGAACGAAGCTGCTTACGACGCTTGCAACGTTGCTAATCCTATATCTACGTTAAGCACCAGACCGGCGAGAATTACCCTTAACAGGAACGGTGATCACTACTTCATTTATGCTTTCCCCGGTTACTGTTCCGCCGGTCAAAAGCTCAGCGTCGAAGTCAGAAATGGCACCCGCAACACCACTGCTCCCACTCCTAGTCCGAGCCCCACACCCACCACGCCTGCAACTTCAAGCCCCACCACCACCCCAGGAACTCCGACCGCCGCCGCACCTGGGCCTTTGGGAACTACCGGGGCCAACTCAGCTTCATCCATTGTTGCTACTCTGTCTCCTTTCTTCTTCACGTCCGTTGCCTTGGTTTTGTCGTACTGAATATGTTGACCATTTTGCTGTGTTTTGTTTATGTGATGTTGATTTGTTTAATTATGAGAGTGATCATATTTGTAGCGTTAATTCGCATCTGAATAAATCTCTTGATTCATTTTCGGAATATGTCACTTCCTTTTACTGTTGTTTAACAACAAACTCAACCTAATATCACTCGATCATTTACCAAAGAAATAACAAACTGGTAGTTGTTTTTCTGGGTTTCAACAAAGACATGTATATATATTATATATATATATATATATAACAAACATGCAATTTCTTGGTTAATTGCTTCAGTAAATCTGTGTTGATTATTTATCCAAAAAAATAAAAATAAAAAAAATCTGTGTTGATTTAGTATAAATTTTGAAGGGTGACGTCAGGTTTTAGTAATGGTGAGCTTTGTGAATGGAGCCATGGTAGGTGAAGATTAGGCACGGCAATGGCCCGAATATGGATCAAGTTAGATCATCCAGACTTATTTTCACATCTGGGATATAGACTTACCCCAGATCTACGGGTCTAAAAAATTGGGACTCATATCTAGATCCAATAGATCTCATGAATTCGAGTCTAAAACGAGTCTATTAAAAAAATGACTATTCGACCTACTTTTTAACATAATAAAATTGTCATTGACTAATTTCACATTATATCTCCATTGGAAGAAAGATTAATTTCAATACAATTAGTAACAAAATAAAAAACGATAAGCTAAAGTCTCAAAAAAATTTCCAACACAATTACACAAATGTCTTTTGAATATCACAAACATTAAAAAATGTAGATTATGAAACTTTCTATTGTCGCAAGCTAATTACTGCACTTCTATCTCCTTAGAGTGCTAGTCTTCATCACTATTAAATCATCAACATCCTAAAACAAAAAATAACCAAACGATGAGAAAAATTTGTTTAATGAAAATAATATTTGTGAAATTTAAATATTAATATTAAGGTTATGTAATATAATAAATTTCTTATATACTATGTCAATGATATCCTCTACTTCATCATCACAATTTTCATTAATAGTGGAACAAGCATTTGTTCCTTCAAAAGTGTCTGTCATAAATAAATAAATAAAATTACATTACATAATTGTAGTCACTCATTTTCTTATGGGGTTTTATTTAGTGTGTGTATATATATATATACACTAAATAATATAATATATAGTTTTGGAAAATATTTTAAAAACGTATATAATAAATAGTTTTGAAAACATTTTTAAAAAACGTATAATATATGGTTTTGAAAACATTTTAAAAATGTATATAATATATAGATTTGAAGATATTTTTGAAAACGTATAATATATGGTTTTGAAAACGTTTTAAAAAACGTATATATAATATAGTTTTTGAAAACATATAATATATATTTTTTTAATATTTAAAAACATATAGCATATAGTTTTAAAATGATTTTTTGAAAATATAAATATATGTTATATGGATTTTCGTTATTATTATAATATTATTTATATTACAATTTATTTATTTATTTAACCATTTCAAGTCCAAATCAAAAGTAGGAGATATGTCCAACAATCCAACCGTGTCCAACAGTCCAAGAGGCCCAACAGGAAGCCCAACCGGGCGGGCAAGCATGAGCCAACAAGCTAACCCGGTGAGCCCAACAAAGTTAGGGTTAGGATATTTAGCAAAGGGCACCGCAACACGTCAACCATTAGATCTGGGCCTTGTGATTTAAAGGCCCGGACCACATCAGGAGGACAACGGGCAGCACGTGAGAACCAAGCACCAGCAAGGCTAGGATTTCCGGCAGCAGAATCTGAAAAATCAAAACACCCCGAGACTGAACCATCCCCAAAATTTTCGGCCAACAAACCAACGTGAGGAAACTAAAACCCTCAACCCCAAATAAATCGAGAAAGGGGGTAAACGACCCCCGAAGCGAACATGATTAGCTTCAGACAATCATTTCGAGCATGGCTATAAAAGCCCATGCAAAGCACAAAAGAAAGTACACGACAACAAACACAAAAAGAACAAGATGCAGCCAGGAAATAAAACAAAAAACAAGCATCAAGATAGCAAAAATAGAGTAAAAGCATCTTGCAAAACCACGAAAAAATCACAAAATAACAAATGAGAAGTTTTGATTGTGGCCTAGGAGAGGAGCGATTGTCAGAAGGTGAAGAGGCTCATCAGAAAAGGTAAACCCGAGACTTTGTATTTCAGATCTACGTATGTGGGTTTGTTTTTAGGGCGTTTGGACTTAGGTTTTGGTTTCACGTGGTCGAGAGGATCGTTTTACGGGTAATTATAGGATTTCGGCCACCAGAGACAGCTGTCGAATCGGTGGTCCGGGCGGTGGGCTACGGTGAAGGGAAGGTCGATGTTAGGCCAGAGAGGATGATAAGGGGAGAGTGTTTATGAGAGATTTTTTGTTTTTTTTCTAAGTTTGGTTTTAAAATGAAATTATTTTGGGTTTTGGGGTATTTATAACCGAGGGACTAAAATGTAAATAGCTGATCGCTTGCAAATGTATATGCTAAGGCAATCAAATCTGTGTAAGTATACACAATCGATGCAAGTAATATAGCAGTGAGTGAGTATCGTCTCCACAGGGATTGTATTAGAAATATATTTTTACCACAACTAGAACTGATGTCACAAGCTAAGTCCTACTAAATATTATCCTAAGAACTAATATTAATGAATTAAGAAAATGATTCAATGATTTCAGAAAGGTTTGGTTGAGGCAAAATTAATATGCAGACTAATAAAACAAGTGATAGTTTAAATATAATGCAAACAACCTCACATATTCAGATGTGTCACAGCGCACTTATGCTAAACCATTGTATTGACAACAAATATTCTCAATTTAGAATGACTTATTATGACTCACTAAAACTGCTCGACAAGATTACTAGGTATTCTTAGACAGTTGCTACGGTAATACCTCTTGACGTTAATTATAGACGTAGTCTCTCTTACTCTATCATCTATCCCTTTTAGTTGTTTGAAACTCACTCCTTATCTCTAAGGCAGATAAGTTAGAACTTCACCATCCCGGATTCATTCCATTGCTCACATTGATCTATCTTAATTCTTTCAAATTTAAGAATTACTTATCTAGACAAAAGGTTATCTCTTGATGCTCTTATAATGCCAAGACGTGTTTTACCAAAACCCAAGGCTATCTCTCGATGCTCTTACAGTGCTAAGGTAAAAATATTTAAACTATGAACAAAACAGTTATAAGCGAAACAAACTTCATCATTCATAAACATAGAAATATTGTTCAGGAAAAACAAAGTTTAACACCAAGTAAAGCATTCATGGTGCTATCAAAGATCATCCAAGATTCAATGTTTAATACAACCCCAAATAAAAAAAGAGTTAAAAATAAAGGAAGAACGACTCCCAAAATCGGGGGCTCTGTCGCGACAATCCTGATTAGCACCGCGCCTGCCTTGGTGATCATCCTCTCTCGAGGCCTAATCACCGCTCTGCTATCGTCTGGCTATAGAGGACACCAAGGAAGGTTGGTGGGTAGACGGTGGGAAAGTACTGCAGTTGCTTGCTCACGCCTTAGGTAAAGTTATTCTTTCTTCTTCATTGCCTCCTCTTTGGCGGCTACGACTAGTTATTTATAAGGAAATACCTCCTAAGTCTTTGTCTACTTTTGGAGTTTCCTTAACTAGCCATTATTAATTGCCCGAACTTAAAAAGGAAAGACAGCTGGTGGCTGTTAGAATAAATGAGGCTTGCTTGCACGTGAAGTAGGTCATCCAGCTGGTATGTGACATAGACTGTTTAGCCACACATGCTTCAGACTTCCTCAAATAAATCTTGCCTTGGCGAGATAAATCTGCTCCTCACGTTCTCATCTGTTCCGTTGGCCTCTGCACTTTTACATTGTCATGACTGAAAATGTTCTTCCTCTGTAGGATTCCTACACAAACACAACCCAAACAACCCCTTTCTTCAGCAACATCAGTCAAACCAAATAAATCTTGCCTAAGCAAAACTTATCCACCACAATCTAATTTAACCTATATGCAACTAAAAATGCAGTGCATACTTTGTCTAGACGAGCAATAACTTAAGTGAAAAGACTAGGAATTAAGTCTTTTTACGGAGTTATTACACCCTCAAACTTAAGCTATTGCTTGTCCTTAAGAAATGGATACTAGCTAGAAGAGAATTAAATTTGTCATGGCAAAGCAGTATTAAGAAAATCATCTGGTTTGATATTTCAACCCTCAACAAAAATTATTTAGCCTCAACATGTTGACAGTCATATCAGTTAAGTCCTTTCCCTAGTCAGGATCCCTTGCTATTGTGTGTGCGTGATTGTAACCAGTCTATGCATAGAGGTAATTTGAAAATTTAAAGTAAGCACTCCTGGTTTGTCAAGGCAACAAATTATTCATCAGGCTTAGTTTATACTTCTAGTTATTTATCAACTTTTATTCTCTTTATTCATTTTTTTCCAGGGGAGTCAGCTTATCACAACTACCGTTCCACACTCTAGGTGAAAGGGAGCATACCTTCCACCCCCAAGCTAGTCGGGCAGAGTCATCATGTGACTACTTTCATTCACTCATATGCCTTTACTACTCCTAATTTGTTTTGGAGTTTTTCTTGTTCATGCCTTTGCACAGAAGAGTGTCCCTTAGTATTTTCGAGTTTCAAGTTTTTAAACACTAGAGAGTTTCCACTTTACCCTTAGAATATTTTTGCACTCTCGGTAAATAGAAAGTTCTTTCTTAAAAATTTTACAGATTACCTAGAGCAAAAACAACCTACAATCGTGTTTATAAATTTCAAGGAATCAAGCTTGGGGTTGGTTCTCTTCTTTAGACAGTCTTAATATTAATTCTGGCCTAGGCAATAAAATTTTGCATTCATCATTGGGAATCCCTAATTCATTCCTAACAATAATCTCAACCTGCTTATGTCATGACAACCAAAATTCTCAACCAATTACCATCAATTGCTTTCTAACAAAGTATGGCAGAATATAGTGCAATGCATCCTCCAAAATTGAAAGATGCA